AAAAAGGTGTAATTGTTTTACCAAAGTTTATATCAAAAAAAAATTGGGGGAATTTCAAAAAATACCATTTTCCAATACCACTTTTTAAAAATACCCCTCTTTCTAATTTTATAAAAATTTAACTAAAAATTTGAAATTTATCAAAAACAATATGTGTAAGCTTATATTTATAGACAAAAAATATCTTTATATGTGTGTAAATATACATATCGTATAAATACATTTGAAAAACCTTTTAAAACCATTTAAAATTCTTATAAAAACTTTGTAAACCTTTTAAAAATCATTTAAAAACCTCATAAAAACTTTGTAAACCTTTTAAAAACTTTATAAATGTCGTTAGAACCTTTTAAAACCTTATAAATATTTGGATTACTCTCACAGTAGTAATTATGATCTTGATGTACCTTGTCTACTATATAAAAGTTTATAATTTTTCGAATTTGAAAAGGGGTATTTTTGAAAATGGATAGAAAAGAGGGGTACTTTTGAAAAATGGTACACCAAAAGGGGCATTTCTCAAAGATTCTCAAAAAATTTCCAGTCCTATAAAAATTTCAACCAAAAATTTTGAAATAGTTGTAAAATCAAGATATGATAAGTAGGGAAAGAAGTATGAGCTATTAACAGTTTTTATTATAATTTGTAAAACTGTGACTTATGATTACATATGTAATACAGTAAAACCTTTATAAATTAATAATTATTAATAAAAATAATAAATATTAATTTATAGTGGTATTTTTTATTGTTAAAAGTTTTTGAAAATATGTATTTCGCAATTTAAAAAATATAAGATTAGGTTTTTAGATATTATAAATTCATAGTTTGAAATTAAATTTTATATTTAGAAAAAAAATATTTAGCTATAAACTACAAATATTATAGATAAATTCACTTATACAAATGATATGTACATAAATTCATATGTTAGATTAATAACCTTAATTTTTATATTTATATTTTAACATCTTATAAAATAAAATAAAAAAGAGAAATTCTTACTAATAACCTTTTTATGATACCGTTTTGCAAAACTACCTTCTTTTTTTGCCATTTTCATGTTTACCCTCTCTTAAATTTTAATGGTCATTTTACCCCTAGTTGAAATAATATTATTTTCCAAAGAAAAGATTATTCCTTCCAAATATTTTCCGTCAAAAAAAGTTTCCTAAAAAAAATATAATTTACAAAATTTTCCCGCCAAAGTTTTTTAAAGGGTTTACAAGTATTTTTAAAGGGTCTTTTAAAGGGTTTACAATGATTTTTAAAGGGATTTACAAGAGTTTTTAAATGGTTTTAAAAGATTTGTAATGGTTTTTAAAGGGTTTTAGAAGCTTACAAAGGTTTTTGAATTGTTTTTAAATGACTTACAATGGTTTTTAAAAGTTTTTATAAGTTTATAACAGTTTTAAAAGGATTTACAAGGATTTTTAAAAGATTTTAAAAATTTACAAGGATTTTAAAGGTTTTTTAAAAGGATTTACAAGTGTTTTTAAAAGCATACAAGGATTTAAAAATGGTTTTAAAAGGATTTACAAGGATTTTGAAAGATATTGAAAAAGATTTAAAAATAGTTTTAAAGGATTTACAAGGGGTTTTAAAGGGTTTTAGAAGTTTACAAAGGTTTTTAAAGGGTTTACAAAAGTTTTTAAAGGTATTAGAAGTTCTTTAAAATGGTTTTTAAGAATTACAAGGGTTTTTAAAGGGTTTTAGAAGTTTACAAAAGTTTTTATTATAGGATTTATCACGGTTATAAGGGGTTTACTCAAGTTTTGAAAGGTTTTGGATGACTTTTAAAAGATTTACAAGAGTTTTTAAAGGATTTTTAAGAGATTTAAAAATATTTACAGAGTTTTTTAAAAGATTTTTTAAAGGAATTGCGGAAAAGTTTTGGCGGGAAAATTTTTGTTGGAAATTTTTTAGCGGGAAAATTTTTGTCGGAAATCTATATCATGAGTTATAGTTAAGGAGGGTAATTTAGTCATTTTGTACATTGAATAGGGTATTTTTGAAAATGAACACCTAGAGAGGGTACTTGTAGAAAATGATATCATAAAAAGTTGGTTGTGCAAACCATAAAATTGAAAAATGAATATGATGCATATTTGAAAATTGAAAACATAAATAAAAGGGAATATTGTTTGTTATGCCACTTTCATAACTCAAAATTATGTTTCTGCCACTTTGACCAAAACCTTCTCAAAAATGCCAGTTTGTCTATTTGTGGCAGTGACACAAATGACGAAATTGCCCTCACAGAAAAAACAAAAAAAATTGATGGACTAGATCTGATGGACTAGATCTGTTCCACATAACTGGTTTGAATCTAGTCTACCAAAATTAGTTGACTGAATCGTGTCCATCTATAGACAACTTTATCATCTATTGTGTAAATCTAACTAGATCATGGATAAAATCTTCCATACACGCATCACTTATTTCATCGTCTGGTGAATCACTTGTGGTTTCAAAAGATTTGTATGATGGCCAAAATTAATTAATCAAAATTGAAATGTTTGGTCCATCGAAAATGGTCCGTCAGATCTGGTCCACCGATTCTGGTCCATCGGATTCTGTCCATTAGAGATGCAACATATAATTCCACCGATCGGAACCGATCGACTTCTTTACCGGAATAGGCGCGGATGGAAAAAATCTCTGATCCAATATTTCTTAAAATTGTGAAGAATTTTATTTGTTGTTAGATAAATAAAGAGAAAATGAGAGAAGAAGAGAGAGAGATGAGAAAAGGACAAAAATGTCTTTTTAACTATGTCTTGTGGCATGTGGGAGAAGGCTGAAGAAAAAATGGCATTCCATACAATATTTGTTACTGTTCATGGCATACAATATAATTTTCTCTAAATAAAATTTTGGTTATTTTATGAGTTGTGATGGAGTATATTACAATATTATAGTTTGAAAATACAACATAATTTCTTGTGTTGAGATGAGCTTTAGGAGAAATTCATGTTTACAAAAAAGTAAAAACATACATTAATATCTCTACTTATATATGCATATATATTAAACATGAATTTATGATATATACATATGGTTTTAATAATTTATAATGTTATTGGGACTATATTTTACATAGATATTTCAAAAAAATATCATATTTATATGTAACTAAATTAATTACAAATAACAAAACACAGTTTTAATTTATCGGTTCAACTCGACATAAAAAAATTTGAGTAGATGAAAAAAACTTGACTAACTGAACTGTAAACAGAATTTGGTTTGTTTTGACTTCAGCTTGTTCGACTCAGTTCAGTTCGGTTAAAAGGCCTACCCTTATATATCAAACCCTATGTTGCATGGAAACGGAAACAGATATGTGGAAACAAAACGTTTCAGAAATGAGAAACGCGTTTTTCTGAAATTAAGATATGGAAACGTTTTGGAAACGCTAATAATATATACATATATATATATAATATTAACATTAACCATCCAAACTACAGTAAAACCTCTATAAATTAATAATGTTGGGACCATGAAAATCTATTAATTTATAAAAGTTTTAATTTATCGATAAATTAATAATTATTAATTTATAGAGAGATTTTCCTAATTTGGAAAGTGTTTTCAAAAAAATATTTAAAAATAAGATTTAATCATGATAGTTAGTATTTTATATAATCATTAACAAAAAAATAATAATTATTATGTCTTAAAAGAGAATTCTAACAATGTTTTATATAGTAAAATATTAAAAATAAACTCTAACAAAAAATAATGTATCTATATATACATATATTTTGAAACTTTTACCTAATTATTAATTTATAATATTGTTGGGACCATATATTTACAAAGGATTTTCAAAAAAAATATTATCTTATTATTTTATCGAAATGTGTCTAAAATTACATTGGTCCCAACTTAGGACCGGAGAAATTTATTAATTTATAGAGATTATTAATTTATCGAGTATTAATTTATAGAGGTTTTACTGTATATTAAAAAAAATATATTTAAGATAACAAGTTAATCTTAAATATATATACTAAATAGTTTAACTAAAAGATAAATATTAAAACACTGAAATCCATAAATTCAGATATTTATATATCATATATTATTGTGTATATATGTATTTAATTAAATTGATCAAGTTTTAAAGGTATAAAAGTAAGGGGAGTTTTGAGAAATACCCCTTTTGGTGTACCCCTTTCTAAAAATACTCCATTTTTCTATCCATTTTCAAAAATACCTCTTTTTAAATATAAAAAATTATAAAGTTTTATATAGTTTATAAGGTACTTCTATATAATAACTACTATTAGGAGATTCGATACAAACATTTTAAAATGTTCTAAATAGTTTTGAATCGTTTTTATAAGTTTTAAAAGGTTTTTAAAAGGTTTTTAAAAGGGTTTATACGGTTTTTATAAGGTTTTTATAATATATTTTTACGCTATTTATGAAAGGTATATAAAGTTTTATACACATATAAAAGTAATTTGTGTATATATTTATAAGCTTACACACATATTTGGATAAATTTCAACATTTTTAGTGGGTTTTTTGATAAAGTTTGAAAAGGGGGTATTTTTAAAAAGAGGTATATGAAAAGGGGTATTTTTGAAATTCTAATCACTTTATATATCATAAATCTAAATATTTGTTTATTGAGTTTCTAACTAAAAGTGTAATATTTCGCCGGGTTTCCAAAATGGAAACACGAGTTTCTATCGTGTTTCTAAATTAAAAAAAAAAATAGGAACCGTATTTCCGTTATAGTTTCCGAGTTTCCAAGAGTATCTATTTTCGAAACGTTTCGGAAACGGAAAAAGCACTTCGAAAAGAGTTTCCATGCAACCTAGATCAAACCACGATTAATAAATTTTTGCTAATTTTTTTTATCAAGACATATTTCTCTTTAACTTTTGTATTTTATTTTCTTATAATAATACATTTTAATAAAATAGAAAAATCACTATAAATAAATAAAAATAAAACCAAAAAAAAATTAAAGTGAAGAATTTTTTTATAAATCTCTAACTAAATAGACTTTTTGTTTAACTTTGGCTTCTTAAAAAGTTTATATCTCATCATCCCGAAGATTTTATAGAACCAAAATATGCTCACGAGTTGTAATCCTGATCCCATTGCCTGTAAGAAAAATAAAACCATCATATTCAAATTTAAAATTATGACATACCAAGAGATAATTTAATCAGCATGTACATGTATATATAAATATTTTCACATATTAATATAAATTAAAAACAATTTTTTTGGTAGTAGTTGGGAAAGATATAAAAGTACCTTGATGAAGATGGGATTGTCAGCTGAGAGACTGACGTAAACGAGAAATGGTCCACACACTATTCTCGCCAATGTGAATATAGTGGCAAAACATACCTATCATCATCATTATCATCATCATCAGTTAATACAAACCATGTCGGTGCTTAAGTTTACAGAAGCTTCATACAAATATATAATAAAATTTAACTTTTATTTTTAATACATTGCTGTATAAACATAGGTTGACCTTAACAAATAAAATTTTCCAATTCAACGAAATTAAACTATATGTAATTAGACAACTCGAGACGGTTTTTTTTGACAATATTAAGTCACAACTGGTCAGCTCATTAACCAAATTCCTACATTTGTAGGAAATCGATCTTTGGTGAGATAATGCCTATTAGCGGTTGGCTTACTATTTGCCACTAGACTATGGTCACTTCACAAGTTTAAGTGACAAGATATGACTCCCACTTAAGATATTAATCTGTTTACTAGTTTATTAAATATTTCTAGTGATTATATAATTAACATGTTTTAGTCTTGAGTTCAAAAACACATATGAATTAGCTCTCAAAAATATTGATCATTACTTTTTCAATTTATATCTTTATTTTCTTATATGATAATTTAGAAATTGACACAAAGAGAAACTCACATCAGCAGCTAGATTAAGGCTAGTGTCTCTGTATCCAATCTCTTTGAGAATCTCCCTAAGATGAAAAAAAGGACTCGATATCTCTGCTACCCAAAGTGTAGCCACGATCTCAGATCCAGACTTCAAAACAATGAAACAACACCAAACTTTTATAAACTTTAATAAATCAAAATCTCATATATCTAGTATAGTAACCATTAATTTAGAGAGAACATACTAATCATGATAGTATATAGTATTTAGTACCTTTTGGTAGGCAAGTCCAGCTATAAAACCAAGAATGCTAACAAAATGATGAACCGCGTTATCAATACTAAACACTTGATCGAACTGACAACATATTAGGTCGTAGATCATGTAGGACAGCGAAAACGCCATCACGTCCATCTGTTTTTTGTGTTTGGTTACAATGTGCAATAAAGATTTGTTAATATAACTTATGATATGGTTAAGAAGTAACCTGTTTGCGAGATGGCTTAGAAGCACGGGGACAAACAGGGCAAGACAAATCTTGAACAGAGAGAGTAGCTAAAGTAACAGCGATCGTGGCGTGAGCCGTGGAGAGAAGACGGTTGCTGAAGCTGAACGAGTATTTTGAGAAGATTCTCCGAGTAAGAACAAAGGCAACACTCCATGAGATTACTCCAAACACTATTATCTTACTAGCTCTTACTTGTTCTTCCTCCATATGATTTCTTGATCTCTTCTTGATTTTTTTTCCACAATTCAAGAAGACCTAGTCCTATAGTGTGTATGCTTATGATGATGACAAAAGAGATTGAGAGGACATAAAAAAAGGTTGTGAGTGATGTTTAATATGCCGACATTATTGGTTGTGGTATGTTGTTAGTTGGGAACTTGGGGATTCAATGGTGTGGGATCCCATTGTCATTTATGTTTATGGTTAAATTGACCTATAAAGATTTGATCCAAATATTTTGGAAAGTACTCTTTTTTCTCTATATAGCTCACAAGCAACCAAGTTGTTTTGCTGAAATTAGGTGTTCTTGGACAAGACATTATGTTCTTGTATACGACATGGTGTGAGTAAGAGACTAAACAGATAGCTTTTTTTGTAAAGGTTGACTGGTTGTACTTAGTGCAAATTCGATTACTTTACTAATCAACACAAGTATGATTAGATTTGATGGTATACTTCAATAGTTTTATGATTATTGTATATGATTAAAGTTGATAATGCAAAAGAAGGATTGTAAACAAAGTATCCAGTGATATTCTTTAGTAGGGTTATCTACAATCAGGGCCGGTTCTAGATCATTGTAAACCTACATTTTAACCTAAAAGAGTAAGAAATTTGTAATTTTATTAAGAAAATAAGGAGATACACTAAGGAATAATAAAATTTTCTTGTAAAATAGACCAAAAATATTATAATTTTAAAAATTACTAGGTAAATATCTTCGATACACCGAATGTATAGGTTTATAACGAAGATACTTTAATTATGGAGAATTTTCTTAAATACCATGAAAATAAGTATTTTTAGAAAAATATCATTACAAGTTTTGTTTTCCAAAAATACCACTAATATACATTTTCCCAAAAATACCGAAAAACTAAAAAAAATATTTTTCGCATTCAAAACTAATTTTAATCATAAACATTAAACTAAAAACTATATTCTAAATATAAATAATTTAAAAAAAGTTCTACATCTTCGAAAATTAGCTTATTAAGTTTATGATTTTTTTTTTAAATAAAATTTTTGTGATATTTTTAAAAATAAAAATAAATTGTGTTATTTTTAGAAGAAAAACTAAAATGACGGCATAAACTCGTGTTAACACTCGCAACCAAAATCGATTTGAAGATTTAACCAAAATCGAACCATTTCACTCTGGTACGGTTTGGTTAGGGTTTAAGATTCAGAGAGAGCTAAAACACCATTTTTAACTTTTCGAAGATAATCAGAGAAAGAAGAAGAAGAAGAAGGTTTAACACCATACCAACTATCAAGAGCACGCGGGAATGGCGAGACTTTGTCTTCCTTGTGCGTCCCTTCGTACCTCTTCTCCTCTTTCACTTCTCCTCCGTTCACCGATTCTCTCCAGAACCGCCGCAATTTCATTTTGTTCATCGTCGGACTTCGCCGACTCTGTAACCAAAGATGATTCAAAACGCGTAAAAATTCACACTCTATCTCTTTGTTTCTTGCTCAATTCCGATGATATTTTTCCAATTTTAACTATAATTGAACTCTTCAGGGTCCTCTCAAACCTGGGCTTTACCTCGTCGGAACTCCAATCGGAAACCTAGAAGATATCACTTTACGGTACTCTTCAATTCCTAAAGCCTTTGGATTATTGGAAAATTTGATTTCAAATTCTTGAATTATTGTGATTATTATTGTAATTGTGATTTCTAATTCTTGAATTGTTGTGATTTGTATTCAATTTTGGGGACTATGGTTAGTGCGATTCGTGTATTGAGATCTGCGGATGTGATACTATCTGAGGATACGAGACACTCTGGGAAGTTGCTTCAGTATTACAATATTAAAGCTCAGCTTGTAAGTTGCTTCTATTGTGTATATGGAAGTAGTAGTGAGTAATCTCGTTTGGTGTGGTTTTGTTTTTTATCAATGTGATGTATTTTGAATTTATAAGGTTTAGGTTTGTAGCTTAGTTATCACAAGTTCAACGAGGCGCAGAGAGAGCTGGCGGTGTTGACACGGTTGAAACAGGGTGAGGTTGTGGCTCTTATCAGTGATGCAGGGACTCCTGGAATAAGTGATCCTGGTACTCAACTTGTGAGTGACCAAAACTCTTTACATTGCTTCATTTTTATTACAGTTAGTTTCTACATTGGGCTCTTTCGATCAAATAGTTTTTCTATAATCAGCTTACTGTATTCAATTAGTGTCTATAATTTTTCGTATAAATGAAGAATATGAGAAAGAAGTGGGATCATCTTTCCTCAGGCTAAAATGTGTGCGAAAGAAAATATAGATGTGATTCCAATACCTGGGGCTTGTGCTGTTGTTGCTGCTCTTTCTGCTTCTGGTTTGGACACAGATGAGTTCACATTCGGTAAATTCTCCTATCTTGTATTTTGTGTCCTCTCGGTCAAGCTAATGCATACCCCGTATATAAAGTTTTTGATTTCCGAACAATTTGATTTTTACAGTTGGATTTCTTCCTAAGCATTCTGGGACAAGGAAGGAGAGGCTAGTGGTTTCATCAAATGAGACAAGAACACAGATCTTTTATGTTCCCCCTCATAAGTTGTCACAGTTTCTAGAAGAAACAACCCCTTACTTTGGTGAATCAAGGTTTGTTGTATATTTCAAGCAAGTTATCTTACATGGATATCAATGCATATCGACTTCATTTTCTCTCTATCAAATTAAGCCTTTCTCGATGCATTTATTGATTGCCAAAAAATGGATGCAATATCTTTATATTGTTAGGAGTTAGAAGCCAGTCCTATGCCTTGTCCTGAAATATATTTTGTTTTGCAGGCAATGTGTAATTGCTCGGGAGATTACAAAGCTGCATGAAGAGGTAACATCCTTAATCACTCTATATATTCATAAACAGTTTATGATAACTCACTTGAGAGACGACTCCTATAGTTTTGGAGGGGATCGATAGGGGAAGCGAAGCAAGAGTTTCTGACTCGCCAACCAAAAGGAGAAATCACGCTTTTGATTGAAGGAAAAGAAGAAACCAAAGCTGAAAATCCAACGGATTCTGAACTTGAAGAAGAGTTAAGAGGACTGATCTCAGATGGACATAGCCTTTCCACGGTAACCATTTTGATTTGAGAACTTTCCCTTAACTAGAGCTTAAAACATACAAAAACACACATGATTCTTGATCTAAATATCAAACCTTTTTATCAGGCGGTTAAAACGGTGGCGGAAAGAACATCAATGAGAAAGAAAGAGGTGTATACGCTTGCATTGAAGAAATTTGGGAAGCAGATTCATGTAGAAGATGAAGCTGATGAGTAAATGACTGGTCGTGGAGCTATTATGATCCCAAATCTCAATTGAGCTTTGGATCTTGATTTTGGTGGGCTTAAGAGTAGTAGAGTTAGTTCCTTTAAACGTTTTAGTACTCACTCTTCTAGGTTTTTGGTGCTCGATGGATCGAATGGGCCTCTCTGTTTTGTAGGAAAATAATACATTATTAATCTGTCAAGAAAGCAACTTCAGATGAAACAAGAACTCCATATTTTATTTATGTCTTTTTTTTTTTACTCTTAATCCCACCAAAATCTAATAAATTCCTCATTATAATGAAATAAGAAAATGCTTTAAGTTATGGGTTTATAATGAAGATTAGAATTTAGATTTTATAACTAAATAAAATTATACGTCGGTTTGAGTTAATAAAAGCATGATTAGAGTTTAGATTTTACATTTAAACAAAATTAAATGTCGATTTGAGATTATAAAAAAAGATTAGAGTTAGATTTTACAATTCAATGAAATTATACGTCGGTCTGGATTTATAAAAGAATAATTCAGATTTTGATTTTACAATTAATTTGATTATGGGACTTTTAATGAATTAATTTAACTAATATTATTTATTTTAGTTTGTTTAATTAAACTACATGATTAATTTTGACGGATAAACAGGAGAGATGAACCAAAAAAATTGTTTGTTTAGAAATAAATGAACAACAAAAAAAAACATTGTCTGCGGCTAGGTAAAGCTAAGCCACCATTGGAAGTCTCTGGACTCCCTACTGCTATTTCTCTTTCACGTCTAATCTTGGATCTCCTCGACAAAAACAAGCTCGCTTATCTTCTTCCTCCTCAAAACGGTTCTACGGTGGCGGGATGGCGCAGATCCACCATCTCCGTTCGGCTTTCGTTGTCCAGACTCGCCGGAAGCCATGGTCCGGTGAGGATTCGCAGTTCTTGGGCGGCGGCTCTGGTTGTGTTCTACAATCAAAGATTAGGGTTTTGTGTAACTGGTGTAGTTCGGTTAATAAAATCGGGTCGGGTTTGGTTTATTGTTTGGTTTAGTTTGTTGTATGTGGATTGAGCCATTTGGGATTGTAATGGACTTAAATCCGGAAATAGCCCATTGGATACCTATTTATAAAAATAAGCCTGTTTATAAAAAAAACAAAAAGAAAAAAACATAACACAGGTTGGAAAGAGTTGGATTAATTAATGAGAGAAAAAAAATAAAAGGAATTGAAAAGACAAAACACGTAATTAAATTCAAAGATCAGACATGCACCGACGTAAACGGAACGGAGATCTAGCGGCGTTTGCGTGTATCATAAATTTTCCAAAGAGAGTGACAAACGGCGCTTAAACGGCATCTCATTCTCACTCTCACTTGCCTATTTATTAACAAAACTAATCAAAAAGGTTCCACTCTGACTGCAGTGCGCATCTTTTTTTTAATTATCTTTGTAATCATTAAAGATCAAATCCTTAATCATTCTCAATCCAATCGTAATTACCCTACGAGACCACATGTCAATTTTTTTTATTTTACTTGTGTCAATTTTTTATTTTACTTGTGTCAATTTATTTGACATATCCACTACTTGTGTCAATTTATTTTAGGTATTAGAATATTTTTTTTGTAATTGTAATAATATTTATCTTTGTTTTTGGATTGTAAAATCTGCATTAAAAAAGGGAGGGAAACATAAATAACAAAATGATAATAAATGGTGGAAAATATGTTGAGTTTATTTAAGAAAATTGCGAACCGTCAAATAATCTGGTTTTTTTAGATTGTTATTCGAAATTGTTAAAATCTTCGGAAAACTAGTTTTAAAATGAATTTCGTACACCATAAACCATGACAAAAAAAATTGTTAACATTATTAAGTTTTCAAATAGGCTATAACTAATGATAGTGTACTGGTTATAGTAAACTTAACTTCGTTTTATATTAAACTTGATTAGCATCCGTGTATATGCGGATTTTATAGTTTAAATATTTTTAATATGAGTAAAAGAAATGAAAAAGAATAGAAAATAAAATAAAATGATTTGTGAAAAATAGGAATTATTTTTTTGTTTATCTATTAATATTCAATTAAACATTCAGATATTTTCAAGTTTTTATCAATTTTTATTCCTATCTGAAGAGATTAAATTGAATGTGATAAAAAAAATAGTAACAAACCTAACTTTTTATAATAAGATATTTGTTATCAAACTTTGTTTTTGTATTTCTATTTTCTATATATATTAATATTTCTACATTCACTTTCTTAGAACACATTGTTTTACGAATTTAATGAAACTGATTTTCAAATTGCAGAGACAAGAATTCGTGTGTTGTTCAGTGAACTATACACTAATAAAAATACAAGAATTTGTAAATTTCGAACTAAATGTGTGGTTTAGCATTAAGTCAATCTATAGTAATTAAAGTGATTCCGTAGGAAATTGATTAATATATCTATAGTGTTAAGTTCCCAATTATTTAGGTTTGGAGAATCCAATCTAAATCTTGAAAGTTGCTTTTCCAATACGATTTCAGCTATTCTCAACTATAAGTCTAGAAAGATTCATAGAATAGTTAATTATGGTCTAAATTAGTTTATCATTTTTGTTGTTGTTAATACTAATTAGTTTTCAACAATTTGATACTCCATATGAGCTATATCATATCATACTCCATTATTTGTTGGGATCGTGTATATTTAGCTATCATAGAATTGATGTAATAGCTTATAGATTTCAAATCAATATAGAGAATTTGTTGATGTAAACTCATATAATTTAATAAGTAAAAGTAACCAAAACATAAAAATTCGTTATAGCTAATCTATAGACTATTGTGACACCACATTATTCTAAAAGATAAAACAAGAGGTGGCACACACAACACAAGTCACATATCCATCGGTTCAAATTTTCCTTTTTTTTTTTTTAAATACCGTACCAAACCCCATAAATCCTTCAAACCCAAGACGAAAACATGTTATATAGTCTTGTTTTAAACGCTATTCAAAACGACGATCTCAAAACTTTTAAAAAATATATTTACCGAATGAAACTATTAGTACTGCTTCGTCATCGGTCC